ATATATTGCTGTATATGGAGTGACACAAGGACAAATCCTCAGAAGTGTTTAGGTACCTTCTAGTGAAATTAGGAAAATAACAGAATAAGCTGTTTTTAATGGAAGTCAGTCAATTCAGTTGCGATTCTAAGGCTTACACTTGGCCACCAGAGAAAAGAGAGGCATTTTTGTGAGACTTAGAAGAACACTATATTGGATCTTAAGGGCACTTCACAGGCCTGGTCCCCAAGTGTCTGTGAGACACTCAGCGTTCAGGAAACCTCTAGCCAGGACGGCGACATTTTTCAAGATGACATGAGGCTAAGTCTAAACCCAATAGGACATGTCTAACTTCAGGAAGGTGAGACCCTGAGGCAAGATAAAGTCTTTTAAAAGCTCATTCATTTCCAAGTCCTGCTAGAAAGCATCTACCGTGCACTGAAACTCCAGATGTTGTTTCTCTTACTCATGCTTGCTTGGTCAAAACTACTGTGGTCGTTGTTAATTGGAGGAAGAAGCCAGGATTTCTAGAAAGGGTCTTAAAAAATGCCAGAAGACAAAGAATAAATTTCTACATCATTCCTGTTTTGAATAAAATGCTTGCACACTTCTAACATCAGCAGACACTGTTTGAAACCATGGATTCAATCCGGGAAATTCCTGACCTAAGTGACACACATCAGCTGTCGAATCATTATTCCAGGCCAGACAGTCAGTAAAAACAGCAATGGGTGAAATTCACTTGCTGTATAAGTGCTAAGTAAGTATGTTTGGCTGATTGGAGAGAAATACGTAGGGTAAGATGAAGCAACCTGTCGATTGCTGTAAAGAAAGTCAGAGAGGACACACTGGCATGCAGATTCTAGGGGCGTAAATTTAGGCGCACAGAATCTCACCCGATGTTTCGATAGGGTTTTTTTTTTTTTTGTATGAAAAGGTAAGCACTTTCCTCCACACAGAGCTTTTCATGTGAAAATTACACCAACCTAGACTACTCGTGTCGCTAAACTCGACACGGGAAGGGACAAGTTTCCTTAGAGCCCAGAATAATTTCTGTTCATATGCCGGGTCCGCGGAACACGCTCGGTGCTCACGTCCTTGTGAGGGCTAACCCATGTGCAGCTTTGCTTTCCTAACAAAGGAGAAGCTTGAAGCAGTAAAGAGCCGAAAAGGAGGCTAGTGTTGGCAGCTGCAGAATGCCAAGCCCGGTGTGGCAATCTGCTCTCATTCATTGCTATTTCTGCTGAACGATTAACTGTTCACCTGAATGCAAAATTAGCTTTTCCAAAATCTAGAGTGAATGAAGGAAGAAATAAAAAATGGATTAAAAACGGAAGCAAAGCTACAGAGGCTTCTGTGTCTTGCTTTTGATTTATTTCTGTTTTATGCTCCTCCAAATAAAGCTAAAAGCTCTCAGGCACGGGCCAAAAATTATTTTTTAAAAAGGAAAGACAAAATAAATGGATTTGCACCATTCACCAGCTGAAGAATTTAGCAAAGATTTATTGCTTGCACATACCTGAATGAAAGAATCTGTATCCTTTATATGGATTATCTGCAGAATAAGTTTATACCTGAGTTATACTTCATGAATTAAGATTATCTGTGTCATAGTATACGTAATAAGTTGTATTGGTATATACCTACCAAGACAAACACATAACAAGTCTATATTTCTGACACAAAAAGAGCAAATACATTTGCTTTCTTAAATGGAAATATACTTCAGGACAACACGTTGCTGTCCTCAAAACAACTACATCCTTCAAAACAGTTTCAGCAAACTATCTTTCGAGCAACCTAGCAAATAACAATTAGCATTTCAGTGGATCAAAACAGTTTCAGCAAATGATCTCTTTCAAGAAACCTAGCAAATAACAATTAGCATTTCAGTGGCTGATTTCTTTAGTAAAGGTTGCTAACAGGCAGCATCTGATTCAAAATCAAAATCATAGATCAGATTTAGGCATCATCCACTCTTAAGCAAGCAGATTGTTTTATTCGTTATGTTAAGGCAGCAAACAAAAAGAAACTTAAATGGCCTTTAACAAGTTCATTAAATGGCACCCACAAACGGCGGTAATGTATTCCCCCTGATCCAGGCAAGAAAGAAGCCTTTTTCATTCCAAACGGGAATCATTCCCTGGGGGCTACAAAGAGCAAACCACCAGCTCAATGTTGATGCAAACCCCTCCAAAAACCTCATCACGTGCAATTCTCTTTGAGCCAGACTTTAATTCCTTACCTGAATAGCAAGATCCAAAGTATCCATTTTAAGTTCAGCATGGATTGTTGAAGTGAGGAACCTATGGCTCATACGACCTGAACCTACGTACTTTCCTTTTCCATATCTATCGAGGGAATAGATTTCATTAATTTCCTCACTAAAGCTTACAAGCACTGAAAACTGAACTTTCACCACAAGCCAGTTTTTGCCCTTGGGTGCAATATTGCAGCCAACACCTGCAGATGCCAACAACCTATACTGGGAGATATCCAAAGGCTTGATTGGCCTACACACCTAGATCCAAAGTACAGCAGGAGGATTATGTTTCAAACCCTTTCGTGCCTGTGCAGTGCAACTCCTTTTCTAGTATGGCTTTCCAACGATTAAATAAAGCTGAGAGAAGAGCATGAATGAGAGGCAGAGAAAGCAAAACGGGGTGTTGCATGAGCCCATTACCCACTAGGATGATTTGAATTTAGAAGTGTGAATATACAAGACAGGGACCAGGTGGGAAACCATAGGAATTTAGAAACTACGCCTTTTAGAAATTTAAAAGGCAAGACCTTATGATTCACTTACACCAGGCACGGAGCCACACCTAGGTTTAAAACTCTGGGGCGCGTGGTGGCCCTCAGGCAGGACCAATCATGTTGTAGAGCTGCCTGTCCCTCCTTCGACTGTAGGAGGAGAGCAAACATCCAGCTGAGACCCAAAACCTCATCTTCAAACAGCCAAGGTCACAGCAGCTTAAATTGTACCTGGGGAATCCAGGACTGTGATTCCTTTAATCAAATATGGTGGTTTACCATATCGTGAGACAAATCATAACTCAAACTCCACCGTCTCTCACAATCTGAGGAAAATGTTTGTTTCACATGAAGATTAGCTCTGAAAACGCAGGCACCTCTCTCCTCAGACATGGCACTGGGGACCATCCTGGTAAATTAATTAATGGAAAGCTAAGTCTTGACGCAAGGGGGTGGGCTCCCATTATCAAACTTTTGACGCAAGCCTGCAGTCTTTTGATTATTTGCATTTGTGTCTGCACACGGTATATCCTCAAAAATATGCCAAAAAGTTACATGTACACCACCTCCGTGCAATAGAGAGAGAGGGGAACTTAGAAAGAGGTATTGCTTTCACTGCATGTACTGTAAAAAAAGCTGTAAACGGTAACTTTTTTTTCCTAAAGAGTAACTCCTCTGCTGTGGAAAAGAAAATACGGTCTTACTGCCTCGTTAACTGCAGGGATTGACTATTTGCTAGTCATGCCTCCTGTGTGCAGTTGCAGTTCTCTTAAAAAACCAGCCAGCTTGTATTTTCAGCAGCTCTGCTATCCTAGGCTCATGTTAGATGACACCGAAAGCGAGCTTTGTGTCAGCTTCTGATGAGAGACAACTAAATCTTCTCAGGAACCTACATGCTAGTCACGCAGAAAAGACCCGCTGTCAATATTTCTCCCTGCTAAGTCCGAAAGCGAGTTCGCTTTGGTGATGTCTCCTTTTGTCTGCAAATTTTTAGACTTATTTTCTGATCATTTGTAACGACAGCAGGCAGTGCAGTAGAAGTATGAGAGTCGTACTGCCCAATTCTCTCTAGCCCTATTGGATGTGGAAAATGCAATCACAAGCTTCAGTGGTCATAAAGATATGAGGACAAAGGTCCACCACAACCATATCCCATAGAGAAGTCTTAAGGTTCTTACTATTCAGGTAAGAAATTACACTTTTGCTAAATCCAGGAAGAAAATTGCATTTGCTGGAATAGCTGGTATGGATTTACTTGGTTGCACTGACAGGAATGAACCTGCCTGCTGTAGGTGCATCATTGCCATCTTCAGATGGGAGTACCTCTCTCTGGCAGAAATTGATTTTATGAGTGGTTGGAGATGTGAGAAAAACCACAGAAAATCAGAGGAAATCGGGAGCTGTTATATCTATGCTTAAGTTGTGTTGTGCCCTTTCAGCTCACGAGTCAGTTTGAGTTACGTGTCTTTGCTGTGAGTATGGGTTAGTTCAGTGGTGAGTTGAAAGCACAGATCTTGTGAGGAAGGTGGAGAGAGTCATATTTGTTGAACTGCAAGTTTCTCTTTAAAATGCTGGTGTAAGTCAACAGAGAGATCCGTATAGTAGCATTGCTCCTGGGAATTTATCCATGAGGTTGTTTGTCGGTCTTTTACTATACAAAAGGAGAAAAAAAAAAGAGTTGTCTGCTAATATCAAAAGACCAGATGAAATTGAAATGCTTTAAACTCCTCACTAAAAGGAAAAAAATGCCGGTGGATGTAATAAAGAGTTTCTGTAAGACAAAGGTAAATATAGAGGAGGTGAAGAGTGTAAAGAGTTTCTGTAAGGTAAAGGTAAATACAGAGGAGAAGAGTGTATTTCTTTTGCACCATTTGTGTAGTTAAATTTGACAGGGAGATGAGGAAAGAAAAGAAGCCCTGCAACCCTCTTTGCCTTCGACAACATCAAACCCATTATCTGTAAGTTCGTTCATACTTTTCCCTGTTATTTGATCTCTGCAATTTTCCGTGTTATTTTGCGTTGAACATGTGAAGAGACTGAAGGACTCCCACAGGAATTTCATCTCGAAGCTTTGGGTCTGGTCCTGCGGATGGTTAGGAAGCCTGGATATTGATGGCTTCCCCCTTTTGGTGGCTGACAGCTCTTCACATACTGACTTTTCAATGCAGATCATGCCTGATTACAGGTAAAGAGCATTCCATTTTGAATATATTTTAATAAAAGCGCTTGTTTCTGCCTAGATTCATAGAAATGTAAAAGTCAAAAATAATGAGTACAGATCTTTCTTCTTTTTAACTTAGATGACATAAACCATCAAATTAGAACACCAAATAAGACCCTGGTGCAGTCTGATATGTGTTAAGGTACCTGAGACATCAGTGTAGGCTGGAAGATATGATGGGGCTGCAGGAGACTTATAACCCTCTAGACTGGTGACTGGAGGCCAGCTGGGAAGCTGCAGGGTAACTCAGCACTATACACCTCAGGGTAGCCAGCTGAATTGTGCCCAAGGTTTTGGATTTGGCTCTCAGCTTTAGCTTCCAAGAAGCACGTGTCTGCGTGCAAGCTCAGCATCTCGGGTAAGATTCAGTTGCTCATGCATTGATATCTACGGGTATTTCAGACGCTGTAGGGTCTTGTTGCTTCTTCATGTTTCAAAAGAGAACAGACCTTCCATGTAGCCTGTGCCACATTCGCTAATCCTGTGCCTAGAGTACCTCAGGGCATCAAAGATGGATGTTCAAGGAACTCTATCCTACCCAATGAACAGACTCACTGCCTACTCTAGAATGAACAGAACAGGCTATTGGGGTAGATTTAGACTAGGTATAAGGAAGATTTTTTTACGATTAGGATGGTGAACCATTGGAACAGGTTGCCCAGAGAGGTGGTTAAAGCTCTGTCCTTGGAAACAGTCAAGGGCAGGTTGGATGGGGCTCTGAGCAACCTGATGCAGCTAAAGATGTCCCTGCTCACTGCAGGGGGGCTGGACTACACGACCCCTAGAGGTCCCTTCCAACCCAAACTATTCTATGATTCTGTGATTGGCTAGATCTCCATTGACTACAGCAGGAATGTAGTCGAGTCAATGATTGAACTGGAAGTGGCAGTGGCAAGTCTCCCAGTTTATTCAAAGATGGAAATTTTGCTTTTAGTTCTCTTGATGGTTAGGAAGCTTGGACATCTATTTTTAGGATCTCAGTTCTGGACCTGAATGCTGCTTCCTGTGAGTTACTCAGGTGCCTAATCCCAGATGCCTAGCACCATTGTAAATGCTTTAGTGTACCTGAGATTCTCTCTTAAATGGAGCTGGTAGATGTGACAGAAGATCAGCACAGATCAGAGCCCCTGAGGCTGTCCCGTACAGCATATGAAGTGACATTATATTGAATATTAAATATTTCCTCAGTGTTTCATTGTAGATTTTTAACTTACTGTAGAATACAGACAAGTTGCTGTGATAACAACTTCTTTGCAAATCCCTGTAGGTTGCCATTTATTTTGTTATTTCCAAGAGCCTTTTTTCCATTCTGGTAATCTCCTTGGAACTGAGATGAGAATGACTGCTATAAAATGGTTTTCCCTTTTACTCCCTTTCAAAGATACGCACTGTAGGTGGGATTAATCTTATGTATCTTTAGAAACTCGAAAACTGCACATCTGACTTCAGTATAGTAACCCCATATTTCACCTTTCAAAGAAAAGATCTGGAAGGGAGAATCATTGGCCCTTTAAAATGCTGATCTCCGAAGTTGCCTGTTTCACACAGAATCATAGAACGTTAGGGGTTGGAAGGGACCTGGAAAGATCATCTAGTCCAACCTCCCTGCCAGAGCAGGACCACCCAGAGTAGGTCACACAGAGGGGTTTTGAATGTCTCCAGGGAAGGAGACTCCACAACCTCTCTGGGCAGCCTGTCCCACTGCTCTATCACCCTCACGGGGCAGAAGTTTTTCCTTATGTTAATGAGACGCATCCTGTGCTCACGCTTGCACCCGGTGCCCCTTGTCCTGTCATTGCCATCACCGAGAAGAGCCCGGCTCCATCCTCCTGACACTCGCCCTTTACGGATTTATAAACATCGATGAGGTCACCCCTCAGTCTCCTCTTCTCCAAGCTCAAGAGACCCAGCTCCCTCAGCCTTTCATCCTGAGGGAGATGTTCCACCCCCTTCATCACCTTTGTGGCTCTGCGCTGGACTCTTTCCAGCAGCTCCCTGTCCTTCTTGAACTGAGGGGCCCAGAACTGGACACACTATTCCAGATGGGGTCTCACCAGGGCAGAGTAGGGGGGAGGAGAACCTCTCTCGCCCTACTGACCACACCCCTTCTAATCCACCCCAGGATGCCGTTGGCCTTCTTGGCCACGAGGGCACGTTGCTGGCTCATGGCCATCCTGCTGCCCACCAGGACCCCCAGGTCCCTTTCCCCTACGCTGCTCTCCAACAGCTCAGCCCCCAACCTGTACTGGTAGATGGGGTTGTTCTTTCCCAGTTTTTCCCCATTCATTGCAAAGGGAACCTAGGATGTCTAGCTCAGATGTAGATGGCCAAATCATCGTAAATGTGATTCAGGTGCCAATGTGTAAGTGTCTAGCATCCTCCTAGGCACTGCTGTATTCTGTTCTGTTCTCTGGTTGCTCCCTCACATGAGTGCAGATCTGCTGCAGGTCATATGCCACATCCACCAGCACCATGGGGATGTCTTGCATATCCTATGACACTTCAGATGATGCTAGGTGCCCATGTTTGGGCAATTGAAGCCCACCTTTACTTTGTTAGATAGATCCTGCATCCTGTATTACTCCTTTTACAGGCTCCTCAGGATTCACTCATTTTCCATGATTTCTCAACAGCCATCACTTAATGGTCATGAAATTGCTTAAGTTAGTGGTCAAAGTACTAAAGGATAAACTCCATGAGATTCACATAATGTGAACATTACTCACCTAAGTAATCTGCCATGTTATTTTTTTTTAGTTTTCTTCTGGATTCCTCTCCTATTGACAATGATACTCTATTGGTTGCCTGATCTAATGCCACGAAAAATGTGATATGGACAAACAGAAACAACTGTTGGTTTATCTTTACACAGGTCAACTTACTAACTCTCCTCCTAATACTCCCATCATTGGAGTCATTGGAGAAAGGGTCGTTCTGCCCTGCCACGTGGTAGCAGATAACATTCCTGAGGTGTTCTCTGTCCAGTGGATATTTCACGAAGCGTCTCGAAAAATAACTGCGAGCAGATATGATGGAAAGAATAAAAAGGAGAAACAAGATGAGAGATATCAAGGCAGAACAGAATTCTTCCACAGTAAATTTAAAGCTGGCAACATGTCTCTGCACTTGAAGAATGTCAGGAGCTCTGACAGAGGGTTATACACTTGTGTGGTCTCTTTCAATGACACGTACCATGATGTGTTGGTTGAAGTTGAACTGCAAGTGGCAGGTCAGTGGCATTCCTCTTTCCTTTTATTCAAAGATGGATCTGAACAGAAACATGTCTATACATCACTGACTGAGGGAATTACAATACAATTTTAATATAATTTGACATGTAAACCGTCTTCATGGAGGGACATGTTTGATTTGAGTCAGTTTTCTCTAAATTAATGGCTATATCTGATATTTGAGGTAAGTTTTAGCTCTAGTTTGAGATACCTGTATTTAAGTCACTGAACACACGCAGCTGTATGTGACCTGAGAGCACAATCTCCCTTCATACTCAGTGAAAGCCCAGTCAGAAAGTTCAGGGAACCCTGCAGTTATTCAGCTGATCAATGTAAAGTTAAATTTAGATTTCTACTTGCAATCAACCATTACTGAGCTGCTTATCCAGAGTTTCTCTATGGTCAGCACAATCAGTTGGTCCCATCCCAATACCTCACCGCTTATCTTGCTGCTTGCCCGCAGCAGGAGAACAAAGCAGTGGGTAGGGCTTCATTGCTCCTGTTCCTGTTTCGGTACGTTAATAGAAACCCTCTTCATGGGTAGCTTCACTTAATGTGGTTGGCCTGGAAGTGGACATGTGCTCCTCCGTGCTCTCCTTGCTACACAGGAACCAATTTCCACTAGTTGCATCTCATATTGCAGCCAGATTCTTCTGAAGACGTCTTAGCTTTAAAACTCCAGGTGAGGTTTAACATCTAAGGGACACTGTATTTAGTCTTCTGAGATCCTGGGTATAAACAATACAGGGTTTTTTTTTAACTGTAGAGCAGATCTGTACAATGTCAATAACAGTTTTCCTTGAAATGATGAGCCTGAGACACTAAGACATTCTGTTTTCATGGACAAATTGCACTAGTTTTTCATAGGCTTCCTGTAATCCATTAATTGTCATAAGTATACAGATTTTTCTTTCTTTTTTTACAAGATTTTGGGAAATTCCACTGGCAGCTTCATTCCAGAACAGTCATCCTCAACTAGCTATCATAAGTATACAAATTTTTCTTTCTTTTTTTACAAGATTCTGGGAAATTTCACTGGCAACTTCATTCCAGAACAGTCATCCTCAACTAGCTCTGTTTGCTGTAATCTCCATTACACCGGTTCTTACTCTCAATCTGATAAGACTCTGAATTACTGACCATTAAGAAACTCCAGGGCCCCAGTTGCTGTCACAGTTTAAATTCAGAAAAGTCTTTCTATGTATTTCCACATAAATATATAAAAGAAAGAAATGTCGAATTCAAGATAAACCGGGCAATTTCCCATTCTCAGCACTGGTTGAAATGGAGAATACCTCTGCTTCCTTTTAGCTAAAGGTGGCGTGCCTTCCATTTTCCTGAGGAGTCACATGAAGCAGGGCATCGGCCTCCCCTGCCACACAGCAGGATGGTTTCCTAAGCCTGAGGTGATTTGGCTGGACGGCCAAGGACAGGTCCGGAAAGAACTATCGACCACAAAGATGACAATGACGCCCGCAGGCCTATACAGTGTTGTAACTTCCATGAGCCTACAACCGGGCTCGGACATGGAAGTCTCCTGCAGGATAGTCAACAGTCTGCTAAATACGAGGAGTGAGTCCCGAGTTCTGATCTCAGGTGGGTGAGCTCTATAGTCACCAGCTCGTAAGATTAAAAAGACAGACTGTCTAAACGGCATGGGTCCAGTTTTTGTGTTGTGAGCTGGCCTGGAGATGTATTCCCAGGATCAGCGTTTGGAAAAAGTTGATGAGAGCTGCAGTCTTCTTCCACCTTTATTTCTAGTTGGCCGCACAGCCTTGGACAGTACCCAGTAAATCACTTTTTCCTACGAAAAAAGGGTCAGGTGGTTCTCCAAATTCTCCAAATTTAAGGCAGTCAACTTGGTGGAGCTGAGTTAAAATGGTTTAAGAATATGACTGTATGCACACACAAAAATGACATATTTCCTTAGTGATGGTCTAGCACTCCGAAAGCTTTCATTATTCCCAAAATGTGTACCAGGCTGTTTAATAAGGTGTGTGCTGGTGGGTTTCCCAGAGCATGGGTGAAAACGATAGTTATGGTCACAAGAGTGGTAATTTCAACATCTCGCAAATGTTTTTATTCTATGTTTTTATCTTCCCTCATTTTCGTATGTGCATTACTTTGTAATCATGGTGTGGATAATGTCGTGCCTCCCCGTACTCTGTGGAGCTTTTCTGTTTGCTGGGTGTATAGACAAGCATCAGGCAGTCTGAAGCAAGCCTCATGGGGCTGGGCCCCAAAAAGAACTTGAGCACCACAAAGGCAATGTCTAGGTCTGGGATGGGAACTAGAGCGCAGTGAAAAGCTTTTGAAGAAGTCTGTGAGGGAAGTCCCTTTTGGGAAGGCATCAAGAAGCCCCAGAACATTGAGTGTGGAGGTACCTGGAAAGAGAAAATAAGAAACAGCCAACGTGGGGAGCGTCTTAAAGCTCATTTTTCTTCTTGGCTTATGCACTATACTCGGCGGGATGAATCAGATATTCATTGGATCAAATTAACCAAGAGCGATCATGTCTCTCTTGTCCAGTGGTGATGGTTTCTTCCCTCATTCCGTCACCTGCCTCCGTTCAGTATGAAATGCAACATCCATGAAAAAAACCCGAGAGCCGGTATCGCTGCCTTTCTGGTGACATAAAAACTGCGGAAAACTGTCTACTTATCTCAGACATCTCTTTCATAATTCTGAATCTGATACACACAGAAAGAGTCTCCCTGGATTGGTCCTGCTGTGGAGGGCTAGATCTGTTCTTCAGCAACTTTGCTGGGAAACTTCAGGTGAAATTCACCATCTCCTCAGATGTACTGACTGCATCCTAGGATATAATTATCATTATGTTTTAACCGGTAGTAGAATATAACTCCTTTTGGTAATTTTTACAGATATTTTCTTTCCCTCCATTTCAAAATGGCTGATTATCTTCCTGGTGATTTTGTGCCTTAGCATGGTCCTAATTTCCACTGTATTTTGTAAGCTCAGAAGTAAGTATTTCTTCGTATGTTATCTCAGTCAATACATAGAAATATCACAACAGTTCATACTGAAATCCACAACTGTAAGAAAAGCTCACGAGTCAAATCACCAGTGATTGTTTAATGACCCAAGTCAGGAAATTGAGGAAAAAAGGGGTGGGAAAGTCCGTGGTCTGAACAAGGAGGAATGCAAATTGCACATCCTTACCTCAGACAGCTTTAGAGCTGTCAAGAGGAGCTCTGTGTGCTAAACCACATGTAGTCCCTTTCTATAATCGTTGGGGAGAGAACTCTGGAGTGTCGTCAATGACGCTAGAGCCTAAATGGCCAATCAGAGAGCGGGTTTGTGTCAGTATTGCTCTACAAAAACACGCAAAAAAGGGTTTTTTTGTCTTTTTTTAACCAGGTAACCACAAGAAAACAGTTAGCTCAGGTGAGTAATGAGGAAGATGAATATGAAGATTATGACGATTTGTAAGTTGGAAAGTTTATTTATATTAAATTACAGAACTAATTAGCAGCTCCAGTTGCATCCAGATCTTTTATAGTTTTTAATTTTATTTTTGCACCACACAATGTAATAAGTTCCTGAACGAGTTTTTTTGTTTGTGCTTTGGAAACGGAGCCTGTTTCCTTCTTTCACCAAGCTCTAGTCATGACTATATGCTGACTGACGTACTCCAACACATAATACATATTCAAGCTTTGTTTGCAATTATTCAAGATTTAATTAATTGTTCATAAGCATTCCTTGGACTCTCTAGAAGAGGGAGAACTAAATGAATTAATCAGTCAAGAGCAATTCCATGATCCACCCCAAGGCCATCTGAAGGCTCTGAAAGCAACTTACTGTTGGAATACATCTGTTTGGGACTCACCGCCTGTGTCTGTACTTGAAAATGAAATGGAGCGGTTGGCATAGGATCCTGGAGTGGTTTGGGTTGGAAAGGGACTTTAAAGACCGTCTACTCCAACACCGCTGCTGTGGGGTGGAGGGGCATGGCACAGCTCATGTGCGTTGTGCTGAGCTTTCCTGCTCACCAGGACGGAGCATTCACGATCAAACCACCTCTTGGCGATGGCCCTCGGCTCATGTGGTCACCTAGATGACGCCTGCTCATTGTTTGGGAGAGCACTAGCTGACCCATGCCATAACCACAGCAGGGACAAAAGAACCGTGTGAATAATTTTATTGCCCGAGGCACATCTGGTTCTGTTTCCCAGCCAGCTTTGGCAGTTGAGGGTACACATGGCTATGCGGCCAGAAGGGATTTATTCCTGTCTCACCCTCAGTTAGGCTACGGCTGGGACAAGACCAGCCTGGGAAGGACTGCGTGTCTCAGAATGCTGCCTCGTTTCTTGTGAACTCCGCTAGAAATGAGATGCGTCTTGGTATAAAAAAATTAGAGTTCTTTGGACTGACAAGAAGCCTTGGGAAGTTTATTAGGTTAAATTAAACTAAACTCCTAACCCCATTTATTTCTCTTTGTAGATA